AGATTGCCCAAGCTGCTGGGTGAAGACTGCCTTTTAAAAGCACAAAAATAGAAGTAGGAGGACCAGCTAGGGAGGACAGCACAGCGATCCAGGCGGGAAATAATCACTGTTATTACCCCATTCCCTAGAGGAGCTCACAGCGGGTAGGGACGCTGCACCTTCATTTGCATAGGGAATCGGTTTGAAAGCCTTTTCTGCTGTCACGTCAACTGGAACCTCGGAGCCGCCCCGGGATGGCCTAGCGCTGGTTCTTGGGCTAAAATGAATCTCCGTGACTTTTCTCCTAGGTAAAGAAGGTAAGACTCTATTGGGAGCTGGGAGCCTGGATTAAGCCTCCTGACCTATTTGGGCTCTGTCCAGCACGTCTTGAGCCCCCAGGCAGAGTTTCCTAGGTCAGAAGGAGTAAGTGAAGTGGCCAAACTAGGTGGTCAAGGCCCAGAGTCCCACTGACCAGAGCCTGGGGGGCCTGGGAGGAGCCAGGGGGCCAGGTTCTCCTGGAGCTACACCCATCTTTGGAGGACACCATAACTAAGAGGTGCTTTGGCTTCCAAGAGCCAAAAATCTAGTCAGAAACAAACGGAAGAGCTTCAGTGAGTAATGTGAGATAAAAGGCACGCGCTCGCGTGCACACACACACACACATCACTAGCTTCAGGGGGAAGCTAGGCCTTTTCCACGGGACTCATGGGCCTAAATATTCTTTGGAAGGCCGTGTTTTCACTTGGACCGTGATGGTCCCTGGAGCAGTCACTGGCCTGCGAACAAGGTCACCGTGTCATTTGATCCACACTGCACTGAGGCAGCCTTTCCCAGTGCCCTGTCTCTGCCCAGCAAACCCCTCCATTCTCAGCATCCAGCACAATGGCCGCTTTGTTGACCTCATGGGTTCTGTGCCTCAGGAATTTGGAAGGTCAGAGCAAGGATGGCTGGGCTCTGACTCAGCGTGCCTGAACCTCCCTTTTGAACTCCACTGGCTAGGTGCCAGGACCCCAGACCCTCTGATGCTGTGTGCCAGGCGGTCTGGCAGGGGAGATGCTGAAGCTGCTATTCACTGTGTTGCTGTGGGGTCTCTCCAGGGCTCCTCACAGCATCACAGGGCTCCAGGAGGTCCTGCCCCGACCACGCAAATCAGAGCTCCCGCTGTGATGGCTACAGAGCAGGCAGAAGCGCTGGCTTTTCTGTCCCACCCAGAGGCACCTGGCCCCTGGTCTCTGAGGCACATCACCTCACAGCGAGCACTGGTACATCAGGTGGGTTCCAGGGCCCTGCCACACACTGGAAGGGACATCAATGATCCCAGTGAAGTGAAAATCACTCTCATGAGAAGGTTTAGCGAAACCAGGAAATAAAACTTGTGCTGGATTGTTTATAGCCATGCACCAAGGGCCACAAAGATTTTCTTTTGATACGGAATGAATTTGAGCTCAGAACCGTGCTGTAGTATAATCAATAAAATGCTAGTATTTTAGCCCAGAGCACGGAAGTCCTTGCTAACATCTTGGGGAGGAGGCTGGGTGGAGAAGAGGACTCAGCTCCTGAGCGTCCGACGTGAGCAAGGCTGTTGTGAGGACGAAGGGAAGGCAGCAGTTGAGGGCCACCACTGCAGATGTTTCCCGGAAGGTTCTTTTCCATCAGGTTCTAGAGGAGGGAAAGAAAACATTTCCTTTACATGAATGCTGCTCTTAATTGAATCTCTGCTCGTCAAGGCAAGCCCGTGGAGCCTTATGTTCAGAAGTACTTAGCGAGAATTAATGGTTAACTGTGTGCTTGAGATAAAAATAGAAAGAGGGCAGTGGGAGAGAGAGAGAGAGAGAACTGAAGAGAAAACTCAGCGTGCCCATGTAAGAACGCCAGGGGAATCGCGCTGTGGCTGACGTTTGGCTGATGACCCTGTGGGTCCCCAAGGCCATGGCCTTCAAGCAAGTTTCTGTTGGTTTCAGAGTGTGTGACAAAGAGGGGCAAAGTTCTCTCCGAGGGAAGGCATGACGTGTGTGTGTGTGTGTGTGTGTGTGTGTGTGTGTCTGTGTGTGTGTGTGTGCGCGCGCGCCTGCCTTAGGTATCTAGCGCTGTCATAAAACACTGACCCACATCAGCCTGTGGAGGAGAGGCTGTATCCGGCCAACGTACCCCAGGCACAGTGGGTTGAGGGAAGCCATGGCAGGAACCGGAGGCAGGAACTGAAGAGGAAGCCATGGCGGAACGCTGCTCACCGGCTCGCTCAGCCCGCTTCCACACACCCCTCAGGAAAGCTGCCGGGGTGGCACTGCCCACAGAGGCCTGTGCATCCCCACACCAAACCAAAAAATGCCCTACAGACTTGCCTACAATATAATGGGGACGTTTTCTCATTTGGGATTTCTCTTCCCAGGTATGTATAGGTTTGTGCGAAGTTTACAAAAACCAACCAATACCCAAAGGAAGCACCATCTCTCTTTCTTTGGACTTTGACTGGACCCTCTCCCACTGTCTTAGAATAGCTTTATGAGACATAACTCACCTGCTGTGAGGTCTACCCATCGCAAGTGCAAACTTGGTGGTGGTTGGCATAGTCGCGGCGTAACCACCAGGGTGTTGTTCCAAAGCAGAAGCCCAGGACACACTAGCTAGCCAGACCATCCAAGCCAGCAGGTCTGGGTTCAGCACGATGCCCTGATTCAGAAAATGAAAAGGGAATGCTTGAGGAAGCTACGCAAAGGCACTCTACAGCTTCCTCATGCAGGTACGCGTGTGCCCCTCATGTAACCACACATGTGTGAACATGTATGCCCCCCCCAAAGGTACACACACACATGAGTGTTCCCATGTTGGGAATCCAGCTCCTGAGGAGCAGGAGTCGAGGAGCCGTCTCACACCTTTAGCGAGGAGCACTGAGGATGTGATTTTTCCCTATGGAAGCAAACGCAAACCGGGGCGGCTCGGCTGCTCCCCCTCCCAGGACGGGAGCTCTGCCCCTCAGCCTGGGATGAGGAGGCAGGAAGTTGTCCCTGTTCTGACAATGCCTCTTCCCTCCTTGGGTGTTCCTCATAGTTGCCGAGAAGACTTGAGCGCCACAGTTCCCACGGGGCTTGTAGGGTCTAAGTTCTTTGAACTATGTCCTGTGTGGTGTGTTCTTGTCAGGCCTGCCCAGGGCATGCTTCTGGAAGGCACCCTCTTCTTGCTTCTGTCAGCACAGATGGTGTCACTTCCTGCCACACATCTTGTAACCCTCAGTGTGTGGGCCAAGTGTGGAGAGAGGGCGAATGAGGGAGGCCATGAAGAGGGACGAAGGGCAAGCTGTGGCTTTCTTCTTTCCCGCAGACTGGTAAAGTTTAGGAAGCCCCAGCTGGCTTTGCCACCAACCTGTGGTGTGGCCATCATCTCTTTGTGGATCTGGCTTTGCTAGGCTCTCTGCATCCCACTGTCCCCTGCTCTGGTGTCCAAGCTTTGGGATGGCACTGAGAGGTCCCAGGAGTAGTCTTGGGCTAAAAATGGAGGGGCCTGTCAGAAAGCAGCCATCCAATGACGTATACCATGCTCAAGTACACACATGGGGGTAGAGGGGAGAAGAGGGGGAGGAGGGAGAGGGAAAGAGGGGGAGGGAAAGAGCGGAGGGGAAAGAGGGGGAGAAGGAGAGGGGAAGGGGGAGGAGGGGAAGGAGAAGGGGGAGGGGGGAGAGAGAACACCAAGCTCCCGATCACACACTATCAACTTTACCTCTTTCAGGAGCCCACCTGCAATGTGTTCTTATTCTGCTGTCATCCTACAGATGGTCTTGAAAGTCTAAGTCTGACTGCACAGATTTCCTGTACGAGATCCTCCACCAGCCAATAAAATCCCAACTCCTTGCCAGCGTCCAGAGGCCCTGCTGGGTCCCCCAGACCCAACCTGGCTGGATCCCAAACACAGGGGCTTCAGCACCCCAGCATGGACCTCAGAAGGTAGTGACTCCATCGAGGTCTGTGACGAGGTGATCAAGTTAGAGCGACGCTGCTAGTGTGTCTGTCCCAATGGACCTGGGTTCCTTATATGAGAGGATCAGGGCACACACATGGGCCCATCTTGTCAGGAGGTGAAGGGGACAGCATCTGCAAGCCCAAGGAGGGGCCTTGGGAGGGGCCAGCCCTGGGACACCTCTCCCTCTGACTTCAGCCTCCACCACATGAGGCACAAAACTTGTCTGTGGCTTTAGATGAGGCTGAAGCTCTGAGTCTGGAGCTGAGAGGGACGCCCTCCTCAGTGCCTGCCTTTGCTCATCCTGCCTACCCAACTCTCAGACATCTCAAGCCAGATGCCTAAGGTCAGTCTGCCTTTTGTAAGAATTCTCTGACGAGCTCTGTGTGGGGCCGAGGCTTTCTTTCTTCCATGGGTGCCCATGTGTCTGGTGGGTCGTGCTGTCCAGGCAGACAGTGATCACATGTGTCCTTGTGTCTGTATTCTGCCTAGCTATGGTGCCCATAGAGAGCTAACGTATCCCAGGGCACTGTGTCCGGGACACAGGAACAGACAATGGCTCTGGTGGCTGAGTGCTGAGTACCTGGTCCTTGCACACTGAGCTTGGGGTTCTCTCCAACCCAGTTCATGGATGGAGGCCTGTCCCTGGCAGGATGGAAGGACAGAGTTTTTTCCTTTCTCCTCTCTTACCATCGAAGTGTTTCCCAGTGGCTGAACTCCTGACCCTTGGGGAGCCAGAGTGGCCAGTTTCACCTCCCCTGTCATCTCTGTCTTGAGCTCCCTGGTGTCCTCGGTCCTCAGCTCCACCCGACACTCCTAGATCTTGGAGCCCAGTGGTTCACCACAGAGGTGAGGCTTGCCTGAACCTAGAACCCAGATCAGTGTGTAGACACAAGGAGGCAGTCTCCTCCCTACCATGTCTGGCCAGTCGAGATTTGCATCATAAACAAAAGCAGGCTGCTCCATGGCCAAAACAGATCATTTCAAACAGGTATTTGAATTGAAAACATATCACATCACTTTTTATTATTATTATTTTGTTTTTCAAAAGCTAATCTTAAGAGGTGTGATATTTCTGGAATATTTGTACCAACACATGCTGCTGGGCACACAGAGGTGGGTGTCCTCCAGCCAGTGGGCAACTCCCCTGAGCATAAGTGGGCATAACATCTGCCCTGCAGGTTGTCCAGTGGAGTGAGACATGGTTATCCTACCCAGGTGGTGTGTGTGGCCTTGTGAGCTCAAGGACCAGAGCAGAGATGGCTGGGGAGGTGACATGTTGAGGGAGGAGACCATGGAGTTCAGGGCTTAGCAAATGAAGCTGCAGGTTGCTGGGAGTCACGGCAGGCTGTTAGGTAGAGAGTGCCCTGGGAACATTGATCTGTGGGAGTGGCCCTCCCAGGCCCACGCAGGGGTTTTGACTGAGATAAAAAACAGCGTCACCCGTGCCAAAGCTCCACGTCAGCAAACAGAACATGAGCTGTGGTCAGACCTTCCAAGAAAACAGGAGAAATGAGGAACAGCAGCCAAGTTTCACATGCAGGCCAGTTCCAGTTGGCAAGCAGCTCAAGCCGGCTCCTCCTGATGCCGAGCGCAGGAGGTAACCTAAAGAAACCCGATGCTGCTCGGCTTTCTATTGTCAGGTCTCCCCGAGCGCACCTTTGGGGGAATGCACCTTTGAAATGACCACTCGGCTTTTTGTTCATTGTTTTCATTTTTCTTTCTGTAGCTCTGTTCTTGCTGGGGCATGATGGTGCATTCCTGTAACTTCAGCCCTCAGGAGACGGAAGCAGGAGGATCAAAAGTTCAAAGTCTTCTTTGGTAACACAGCAAGTTGTAAGCCATCCTGAGCTATGTGAGAACCTGTGTTAAAAATTCAAAGTATTCGTTTATTAATTTAAAAACAGAGCAAAACCCTGTTCTCCTTCATTTGGCCACCAAAGCCTCCTCTTCTGTGGCATGGGTACTCGTTCTATTCTAAAACTCACCCTTCAGTGGAAATCTGGGTTCAAACAATGGCCAGTTGCTGCCTTGCCCTAACCCTAACTCCTTTAACTCTCAGACACTCCCACAAGGCCTCTGCCCCATCACCCACAGACTCCATGTTGCAGAGCCATGAGGCACAGGCTTCCTTTGCTGCTGCCTGTGCCCCAGGCCCCAGGCAAAGCCTGCAGTACACAGCCAACAAGCCTCACTGCAGAGAGGGCGGCTGTGGATGGTGAGGAAGCATGATTGGAGGCAAAGAGCAGTATCCACGCAGTAAGAATATGCAGGAGAGCCGGGGTGTGGCGCACCCCTTTGATCCCAGCACTCAGGGAGGCAGAGGCAGGCGGATCTCTGTGAGTTCGAGACCAGCCTGGTCTACAAGGCTAGTCCAGGACAGCCAGGGCTACACAGAGAAACCCTGTCTCAAAAAACAAAAGCAAACAACAAAAGAATATGCAGGAGGGCAAAGAAAATCAGTGGAGTGCCCGTACTTGTGGGCACAGCCTTCCATAGACACACCTCCCGCAGGCCACGCCCTCCACAGGCCACGCCCTCCTGTAGGACTCTCACAGGACCTAGCCCGCTGTGCTGAGCGCAGGTGTTCAGCAGGGCTCATTCAACACAGGGACACAAAGGCTGGTGTCAGGGACTTGTGGAGGGAGAAAGTGCCAAGTGGTGCTCCAAACTCTTAGGAGAAAGACCAGAGAGTTCTAGCCATTAGGGAGAAAGGGATGACCACAAGTATTATTGTTTAAATTCGTGAATATGACATGCTTTCCTTTCCCATTTAATTACGTTGTTTGGTTGGTTGGTTGGTTGGTTTGGTTTGGTTTTGGTTTTTCCTGGACTCTCTTTGTAGACCAGGCTGGCCTCGAACTCACAGAGATCTACCTGCGAACTCACAGAGATCTACCTGCCCCTGTCTCCCAGAGTGCTGGCATTATAGGCGTGCGCCACTGGGCCCAGCTACCTGTTTTTGTTTTTGTTTTTTCCTTCTCTCAGGAATGGTTTTCAGTTTTCTGTGTAGGAGTTTTGCACACCTTGGGCCCCAAACCACAGCAGCTGAGTTGAAGGATAGGGTGTTGATCCAAACACAAGGCAGGCAGCCCTGAACCTTCTCACCCTGAGCAGTGGAGGCAACCTTCCCGGTCCGTACAAAGCAAGATGGCAGACATCTGAGGATTCCAAACCTCAAAAAAGAGGTTGTAACATACCACTTATTCGCAATGTTCTTAACTTAGTTCAGAAACACTGCATTGTGTTTGACCGTGCTTCCCGCACAACACTCAACTTTGTGTTTCTGTTCATATCTTGAAAGCACGTTGTAGCGCACTTTTCTACTTTGTAAGCTACCACTTACCTGCAATGTTCTTAACTTCGTTCAGAAACCCTGCCTTGTGTTTGACCGTGCTTCACACACAACACTCAACTTTGCGTTTCTGGTAATATGTTGAAAGCTCGTTGTATCGCTCTTTTCTACTTTGTAAGATACCACTTATACCGCAGACCCAAGGAGGTGGATGCTAGCTCTAGCTGTGGAAGGGATCAAGATAAGGCCACACCTTCCCACGGGACAACAGCAAGCTTAGTGTCACACCGGGCCTTATCAAAGGGGATAAATGGTAAAATCATCTCAGCAGAAGCCAAGGGTTCCATGAAATCCTTTCAATTTTAAGAAGGACTCAAGCTCCAACGGAACTTTATCGTGTTAAAACTGCAATGGGCATGGAGAAGTGACTCAAGCTGTTGAGAGCACTTTATCCTCTTCCAGAGGACCTGAGTTCGGTTCCCAGCACCTGCGTCAAGTGGCTCACAGCTGCCTGTGACTCCAGGGGACCTCGTGCCCATTTCTGGCTGTCCATGACCACCCCCCATCACACACACATCACATTGCATGCGCGCGTGTGCGCGCACACACACACACACACACACACACACACACACACAGATTCTTTAAATACATAGCAAACCACGTTTTAAGTCTCAAAAGTGATTTCTCTCTGAAGTTGAGAAGGAGATCGATCTGTTAAAGACGCCATTGAAACAAATCACATTAAAAAAAATAGAACTGTGCAAGAGTTACTAGGGGATGAATGAAAGTACTGTAATGTAATTCCCAAGTCTCTCCCTCTCTTACACACACACACACACACACACTCCATATCAATCAAAATGTGATCAGCTATGGGAATTAATTCATTGATTTACCAAGGCTTCTAGTTGCTAAGTTAAGATACAGAAGACAGCGGCTCAACACTGCGGCTCCCACGACACTCTCACCCGTGACATGAGCACGGATGCTTCGCGTGTCTCTCACACTCCTTGTCTGGAAAGTGAAAGATCAGCTGTGGATTCTAGATGGAGCTCTTGTGAAGTGTGCTCTACCAAGAACCGGCGTCCTCCTCCGAGGCCGTTGGATGGAACAGACTGAACTCTGAACTGCCTCAGGCTCCGTGAAGTCTAAGTGATGAGAGAGATTCCCCCTTTTAGAGACTCAGAATCCCAGCCTCAGCTGGAGAATGCTGTGGACCTGCCGGCACGGGGTCTCACTGTGTAACCCTGGCTGGCCAGGAACTCTCCATAGAACAGACTGGCCTCCAACTGGCAAAGCTCTGCCTGCCTCTGCCTGCACAGCGCTGAGATGAAATGCCTCCATCACCACAGCTAGCCTTTAATGGATAATCTTGTATTTCACACGGATGAAATTATTGTGAAGTATACATTTTAAAAGAACTACTTTAAGGAGAACAGAATAAAATATAAATACACTAAAGCTACTAATTCTGATACTTGTAAAAAGTATAAAATGTATCTGTTTAGTGATTTACTTCCAAAGTAAGATGGCACTAGTTATTTGCGAGGAAGACTGGCTTTACTGGATTCTGAGACAGAGGGAGACATAAAGTGTTTTTCTTTATTCTCCCAATTGCAAGCTACAAATTCCCTCTTTGCTTCCAAGCAAAGGAGGATGAGCTCACTGGGATGCTACGTATTCAGGTGTACATGTGACTGGGGATCAGACTGTTCTTTTCCTCCCCGCTCTCCACCTTTCTTTGTTGCTGTAACCCCCCACTCCACACCCCCCTCACCTCACCTCCACAGCTCCTGGGCTGGATTTCTCTGAGGCAGGGTCTCTTTGAACCCAAAGGTCATTGCTTCAGTTAGGCTGGCTGGCCAAAAGTACTGTGTCTGTCTGTGTCTTATCGCCTGTCCCAGCAATGGGGTTAAGCGTGTGCCACCCCACCTGGCTTTTAAACACGGGCTCTAGAGACATGACTTCAGGTGTGCAAGCTGGCACAAGCGTGTTGACTGAGCCATTGCCTCAGCTACACATTCAGTTTTAGTGAATGGCATGTATCTTTGGGTACAATATTCTTTGAATGGTCTCCCAGGAATCCCTGAGCTGTGATGGCCATTCCCCATCCCCTGCTAGAGATGGCTAGTCCCTCTTTCCTTCTCTGTCACAGTTCATACCACACTTGTACACATACTGATTTTCATGTTACATATCTCCACTGGACTCTGATGTGAATAAACCATGTCTTCATAGCTAAAAGAAAACGGACACAAGGACGGCTGTTTTTTTATGTAACATCAACAAGCAACTATTAAGTGAAGTTAAAAGTAATTTCTCTTTCAATTAAATTTTTTTTATTGTTTTGTGTGCGGTGTGTGGAGGTCAAAGGGCGACTTTCAGGCATCAGGCCTCTTCCTCCAGAGTTCCCAGGACTGAACCCCAGTTGTTAGACTCACTTAGGCAAGCACTTTTATTTGCTGAGCTATCCTGCTGCCCCTAGAGCAATTTTATTTAGCTCAAATGGCTGAGAACAAGTCAAACAAGACGTGTTGAGAATCTACCAGGAATCTATAAAACATTCCTGAGATATTGAAAACTTAAATAAGTAGAAGAAACCCCTATGCATTTATGGGTCAGTTGCTGCTTCCTCCAAAATGATTTGGGCAGGTTTAATAACCGCTAAGCAGTCACCCCCTAGGGTTTGTCGTAGGAACCCTGCTGATTCTTTACGTTATACATAAATGTAGAACAAGAATTGGTGAGAAAAGCATACAGACAAGTTGGGACACCTTCACTAGGCGATCAGGGCTTTCCAACAGCTGAGTATATGGACAGAAAATAGCTCTTTAAGGGCTGTAATGCTGAGTCTGTTGGGTGTCCAGAAGATAGTGGAATTATAAATAATGAAAACAGGGCTGGAGGGATGGCTCAGCCATTAAAGGCTGCCCTCACAACCAAATTAAATAACAAAAATAATCATTTTAGGTGTTTATTTTTATTATTATTTTACCAGTCTGTGTTGTCTCTGTGTGCCATGTGTATGTGAGTGCCTGCCAAAGCCAGAACAGTGCCGGGCCCTGGAGCCAGAATCCCAGGAGACCGTGAGCCGCCTGCGTGGGTGTGAGGAACTGAGCTTGGATCCTCCGAAGGAACAGTGCATGTTCGTAACCACTGAGAAATCCTCCCAGCCTCAGAGACTGGTTTCAGAGAGGGCTGTGAGGCTAGCCCTCGCCTCCGAGGCGGCACCAACCCTGCCTGTCTTCTGTGATGGGGCTGGGACCACAGGCCCTCTGCCACTCCCCACTCACACAAAAGTCTAGGCCTTCGTCAGTCACAGAGTGCAGCCTCCGCGGATGGGAGAGCAAAGGTGAAGGTGGAGACTCGGGGTCACAGGCCACGCTGCTGGGGAGCACCCCATGTGGCCGAGGCTGGCTCAGTGGACAAACACACCAGGCAGTATTAAATTTTACAATTTCTGCTCATCTAAAGCCACCACCGCCAGGAGGGGAAGATGTCTGTGCAGTAACAGAGGACGCAAAGACAGACAGACATCAGAAGGACAGACAGCCTTGCGGGCTCTGGAAGCATCTGCTCAAACCGCTGATGAACGGCCGGATCAGGGTCGCAGCGAGCTGCCTGGTCAGCAGTGGGGAAAGGAGCAAGGACCTGGCCAGCGAGGTAGCAGGGTCAAGACTCAGCCCGCCACTGCTGGGCTGTCTGTGTCAGCTCCACTGGACGGCCAAGAGCCTGACTCACTCACACCCCCAGCTGTTTCCAGATCTGCCTACCCTGCCTCACGCTCACAGCTTCCTGTTAACATTTTGTAGCTCAAACCCAGATAAGGCCTGGATGGCCCCTGAGGCAGAACAAATGGGTGAACTGTGCTAGGTTCGCTCAGTGGCCCCTGCGTGGTTGTGGGCAGATTGTAACATGCAGACACAGATGAGCGGAGCGTGCCAGCCACACGTTCGAACACCGAAAGGCTTCATCCTCGTGAAGCCTGGCTCACGGCATGGAAGCGGGGCTGAAAGCACACTCGGAGGAAGAAGGGGCCTGGGCAGGGTTTGGGCAGGGCCCTGGGCAGGGTGTGGGCAGGCCGGGCAGGCACTGCTGTCTGAGAACATCTGTGTGAGGACCGAACTGCGTGCTCACGGTGGAACTGCCCACAATGACACACTTGCCGTGGAGAATGTACATTGCATGGGCCATGCGTGGACACTGCTAAAGGGTATTGCCACTTAGAAGGAGAGCCGGGAGGTAGATCCATGTAAACAGGTTCTTGCCTTGCAAGCCTAGCAGCTTGCATATGGCCCTTGGACGCCATGGTGGAAGGAAGGGTGCTGTTTTGGAAGGTTGTCTTCTGATTGCCACACAGATGCTTTCTCAAGTAACCTCCCAACTCACACACACACACACACACACACACACACACACGAAAACTTGCATGCACACACACTTTTCCGAGACAGACTGATGGAAATTATCATGTGTTTGTTTAAATTCACATTTAACAAGTTCTTCGTCTTAACCCCCTACACACTACACACGAGTAGAACACAACAGGGGTGTGAATGATTTAAGAACACAGATGAATGTGGGGCTATGTAGCCCAGGCCAGTGAGGCCTCTTTGCTCCTCTGCTCCATCAGGGACTCAGCAGCCACGGGAAGGGTCTTGTTTCAAGGCTGGGATTCCCTGCAGGCTGTCTGTCTCTGCCTTGTCTTAGGGCACACTCCCTGCCCCGGCCTGGCCCTGTGAGGACACTGGCAGGCTGCAGCATCTACAGATGCTAGTTTGGGCTCTTGGGGCTGCCCGGCAAGGCTGACAGCTAGCTGAGGGCTGGGGTGAGAGCGTGCCCACTTATCCTTTCTCTCTCTCCCCCCGAAGGGTCCAAACACACCGAGGAGCCTGGCCCGTCACACCCCAGGTGGCTGTGCAGGCAGATTCGGGCGTTGGCTCTCCTTCCCTTCTTGCTGGCTCACTGGGGCCTTTGGAGGGTTCCATCAGAGCCCGACACAATGCCCGTGGAGGTGTGCTTCCCCTGCCACAGCTCAGCCCACACAAGGAAAGCCTGAGAAGGGCAGACCCACATTCCTTTTAGGTGAGGGAGCTGGCTCCACGTGGTGAAAACAGCTTGAAACGAGATGCTTGGAATGTCTGGAGGTGACGGTGCCCAGAGGAACTTGGGGATGAGGCCGCTCCAGATACCGTCTTATCTTAAAGATCATCTTAAATGCATGAGACATGTCTGTCTGCCCTATCCTTCCCTCCCTCTGCTGATTGGGAACGAACGCTCGGCCTCCCCAGCTGACCCCAGCTGACTGACCCTGGCTGATCCCTGCTTCCACCTGGACCTGCTCCGGCCAGGCATCAGTCCTGGCTAGCTGTGTTTCCTGCCGCTCATTCTCACGGGTTGCCGGGGACATGGCATTGCATGCCCGAGCACGCGCGCGCACACACACACACACACACACACACACACACACAGACACACAGCATGGACACACACACATTAAAAATAACAATAAATACATCTAAAACTTATAAGAATATAGGCTTTCTCTGAAAAAGTGAAACAGAATTGAGACAGTGGCCTCAGCAGGGAACGAGGAGCCTACTGTATTCTCAAACTTGTTCAGTTTATCCTAGAATCGTCGCAGACCAGTGTTCCCTTCTCAAAGCATGGGGACCCAGTCAGCTGCCACTTAGCCCTTTACCCACAAGCCTCTGGGAGCAGCATGGGTGCCGCCTGTGTCCTGGGAGTCCAGCCGGAAGACCAGACTCGGCTCTGCTTGGGGAGAAGCGGGCTGGGCAGCAGACAAAGATGAAGGGAGAGAGGAACGGTCTGTCCGCAAAGCCCTCGGGGTTCCCCATCCCTGGAGTCCCCCACAGGCTGGTGCTCCACTGTAATCCCCACCATCAGAGACAGAGGAAGGCAAACAGTACTACCTGTGCTGTCAGTGTGCATAGCACAGCAGCACTCTGGGAAATCAATATGACAGGGAGCGTGCAACGGTGCTCGGCTAAGTGTCACATCCCAGAGAGGCCAAATGCTACCCAGAGAAGAGCTTTGCAGTCTTCTGGGAGAAGCGGCCTTTGTGGGAGAACAAACTACCTTCAACAGGGTGTAGTCATAGCCTCGGGGTCATGGCGGAGCTGAGGTCTCCATGGCTCAGTGAAGCTGCCTCGCAAGCATCACAGAGCCTTATGCTGCTCGCACTGGTGGGGATGCCTCTGTGAGTGAGCCTGCCTGCTGGGCACCACCCTCCCCACCAGCCTGGGCACCTCACCCTGACAGCGAGGGCAGACAGCTGCCCTGTTCCGCAGTACTGTTCTTGCCATCGTGAGTTCAAACTCTAGCATAGAAAGACAAGCTTCCTGGAGACAGGCTGCCGGGCCACAGCAGGAGCAGTCAGGGACTTCTTCCCAGGCCTCCTGATGTACCCAGAGGCCTGGCTAACCATCTACCTGCCTGCCAGGTGTGTGAGGCTCTCCAGGGAGTCACGTGGGTGATGAGTATCTCAGAAATTCCCACTGTTGTTGAATGACACAAGCCTGTAATTGACACCAGTGTCACAGGACCCAAGCAGGGGACAGCATGTGACAGCAGGAGGCCAGTCAGTGAGGACAGCTGATCACTGAGCCCTGTCTTGTCGCCTGTCGTATGAGGTCATACTCCTTGTTTCTGTGAGGTCTTTTTCTCCACTGCCAGTTCTTGTCCCTGTGAGGGCCTTGGGAACTGTGAGTACACTCCATGAAGTAGGGGAATGTCAGTCATGACAAGGTGAGAGCTTTCCTTCAGAAAGTTTTAGGCAAGTTGTTTGACCTCCCCTTCCTGCCCCCACCATCATCATAAAAACTGTCAAAGTTCTAGATTAAACACACAGAACATCTCCTTCACAAAAGCAAACAGATGAAGACACAGAAAGGAAACTGGTGCTTCAGAGAGAGCTGGCCTGGCTGCCAAGACCTCTGCCAGGCTAGGCACAGCAGGCACCAGGGCTGGAAGTCAGGCTCTGCACTGACCCAAGCGGGGGTGGGGGAACCGGAGACGCCTTGCAGCAGAGTGGTCCCCAGCCCTTAAGAAGCTGTGTCTGCCAGCCCGACTCATCCTTAAAAACACATCGCCTTGGCCTGGGGAACACAGGAAAGCCAGAAGCGGGTGTGTCCTGAGCTGCCCAGACAGGTGAGGCCTGGAGCCGAGGGAATCCGCCCCGAATGGCTTTGTGAATCAATGTTACTTGGGTACCGACTATGAGCAAAGGGCACCCATGTAAAAGAGTGAAAATAACCAGTCAATTAAGGCAACACACACAACAACAACAACCACAGAAACAGCCAGAGCTACAATGCCTACTTAAATATTGGTGTTGACAAGATGATCCAGCAACAGCTCTTGCTGTGTCTGAAGAAATAAAGCAGGTTGTGAAGAGGCTTTTGGCACCAGAATCTATAAAAAGAGAGTCCACACATTTAAAAAAGAGTGAGTAGGATTTCTGCAGGTCTCAAAGGCAAAGTCCCTTTGGACACAGATAGAGTTGCTCTAGGAACAAGGGGCTGTCTTCTGCCCTTGCCCCCAACCTCAACTACCCTTCTAAGACCAGCTTGTGGGGCCTCCTTTGAAAGGAGAATGCCATTCCTGTTCAGGACTCCACTCCGTAGCTCTGGCCTGCTTCGTGCCTGCGCTCTCTCCAGCCCCAGGTGGGCTCTGTGGCATAGACTGGTGATAGCCCCTAGGTCTGTGCTTCGATTTTTTTTTAGCTCAGTAGCCGAGCAGGAATTCCAGAGTGCGAATCATGCAAGGGTTCTGGAATGCGGAGCGGCTTGCCTCACAGCACCAGGCCACCTCCCTTTGGGCGCCTCCGAAGATGAGTGTCCAGCAGCAGTGACATCAGCTGTCTCAGCCCTCTGGAATCCCTGCAACTTCACACCCCATCACTCAACCCTCTAAACAGAGGGTTCCCCAAAGCCTCTGAGAGCCCAAGGGTCATTCAGAGCGATGTCTTCGGTGACCTAAGAACTGCCTATGTATGACCCCAGCAGGCACCAGCTGTGAATGCGGCACACGCACACACACGCACACACATGCAGACACTCACACATACACATAAAATAAAAGTAAATACATATTTAAAAAAATGATATAAAAATAAAGTTTTTAAAAAGCTGCACACAGTAGCTGTTTCCTACAGTCTTTGAGGCTTTTTTTTTTTTTTTTTCTGATGGGTGTGGTCCTTTGTTCCTGATCTCACCTTTTCGAAGGCAGAGGTTGCAGGACTGGCCCGGAGTCTCACATCAAGTGGTTCTGCAAAGAAAGAATAGTCTGTATTTAAGAGAGTCTGCTCGCCGGAGCCCTTCCAGAGCCGCGAATGTGCTTGAAAGACAGCACACTGCCTCTTCAGCCCCGGAGGATGAGGTGGCAGGTGACTCCTGACAGGACGGTCCTTAGCTCTGCTGGGGTAAAGGGGGCTTTCTCTGTCCTGCGGTCACTTCCTTGTCCTCTGTGCTGCAACACTGCAGCGCTGCATTCCTCTGCTCGTGAGCTTCCAAAGGGGATAAAACTGAGGAAAGAGCTAGAGCCTTGTCAGGACAAGGACACCTCTGTTTTCTCCTGACCAGCCTGTCTCCTGCGGTGCCTCCCGCAGGAGACACCGGCCAGAAGAGCACCTCACTCAGGACACCAAACCTCTGAGAACTGAAAAGTAAATGGCCAACAGCCCTCTCCACGGTGGTTCTGTGGACTCTGAGGGGAAGAGCTCCAGAGAGTTTCCTGAGCACCCTGCCTGCAGGGAGGGAGGAGGCCCCCCCCATGTCCACACCAGACAGAAGAGCACCCTGCAAGGGACTGTTCTTTGGGAAAGTAGGAGTCCTGTCCACGATAAGCACACAGGCTTGGAGAGGTAGCTTAGTATGAGTTGGCTGCGTTCTCCACAGCATACGTGCTTGTATAGGTAACCCCAGGATTTAGGATGGAACACAATTTATAGCGATTGAGCCTTCAAAGGTAAGTAAGTCAAGTCAAGTACGCTGAGTCCCTCTTGTCCCTTATGACACCCTTAGAGGATGAGGGAATGAAGACAGTCACACCAGAGGGGTAGTTCAGTGTCCCAGAGAAAAGCTGGCGTCTACTTGCCAAGCCACCTTCAACCATTGTGTGCTGCCGCAACAAGAAGCCCAAGGCTTGGTAGCTGATAGACAGACTGTGTTGCCTCTGGTCCAGAAGGCCCTGGTGAACCGGCGTCTGCTGAAAGTCAGTGCTGGCTATTGCTGAGGAGGTGGCAGCTCTCTGGGGTCACCTACCCTTCACCCCAGCGCCCCACCTCCTGACACTCTTGCCTCAGAGTAAGATTTCTGCAAATGAGTTCTGGCAAGACATGTGCACAAAGCCAGGAAACTACCCAAATCCAGAAACCGGAAAGCTCGGTCCGATCCCCTCAGTCTGGGGGGAGGGGGATCCTCCCAGCCCTCTCCAGTCCCAGGTCCCAGGTCCATGCCTGTGGCTGCCAAGGCTGGAGCTCCCGCAGGGACCTTCTGCAGCTTTCTCCCGGGTCCTTCCCAGCCCAGGCACCCCACGCCTCAGGAGCTGAGAGATCCGGAAGACAGCAGGAACATCTAGAGGAGTCCCTCCTTCTCAGCCTTAGCCATGCTTCATCCTACCCCAGGGACGAACAGTTTAATTTGATGAAAACCGAGTCCCCCTCACCCCCTGGCTGCCCTCACTGACTCTTGGTCTTCTCTGCTCCAAGCCCAGCCCTTCAGCATGGAGGATCCCGGCGTGGCCTCGTGGTAGGTGCCAGTCGGGCTGGAGAGGAACGCCTCATTCCAGTATTTACTTGGCAGGTGCAGTCTGCCCTTGACTTAGCAGCATCATAAAACTCTGTCTGTAAGTGAGAGCAATCCAGGCACGCTATGGGCTGGTGCTGGTGGGCACTACCGTATGAGAAGCCCTGCCCAAGCTGTGTCTCTGCTCCCCCAAAGTGACTCCGAGACACCGAGGAAGGACCTCGCTCCTTCGAACGGTGCCAGCAGCTTTGCACCCTCAGCGCTGCAGCTTAGCACACTGTCCAATGCCACCAGCCCTCAGCTCTCATTTCCCTCAGCTGCCCCCGCCCAAACAGTGGGTACCTCCTGTGGATCAAAGTCTGCAGCTTCCAGATAGACAGCATCCTTCACAGAGTTTCCGGTTCAATTAGACAGAGAGCCTGTGCGAAGAATACGCAGGGTCGTGTCGGCAGAGCCCTGGCATGAATGGTAGGCCCAGCCAGCTGCCAGGCTCAGTCCTGGTGCTGGCTGTCCTCGTTCCAGCCATTCGGTCTCTTAGCTTTAAGTTTTCATGAGGAAATCTTGAAGTAGATCTTTGGAAGAGCATGAAACATGTAGCAATCTCACCATCGTTTGTTACTCTCGCTGCATTGTGTGTGTGTGTGTGTGTGTGTGTGTGTGTGTGTGTGACTTTTTTCCAAGGACAATGACTGGAGAAAAAGACAAAAGACACCACATAAGGGGGAAAGTCTCGGATGACTCTCCTCTCCTGGCCCGCCCTGGACCCTCCTGGCGTCATCTGAGGACTTGGGTGCCAGACGTGCCGTCACCTGCTTTCCCTGGTGGCCTTCCCCCAACAATCAGGATTCTGGACTTTCTCCTCCATGCCCTGCCTCTCCCTCTTCAGCACACAGAAGCCGGCACGACAGAGCTACTCCACCAGTCTGTCCTGTGCTGGTTCCCACTGTCCTTATCAGCAGCCAGGGAGGCAGCGTGCTGTTCTGTACCACCCAGTTCTCAGGTCCAGCCATGCAGCTGTCTAAACAAAAGCCGGAGCAAAGCCCTCGTTTGTTTTTAAGAGAAGCAGGGGAGCTTAAACAGAGCTGAACGCTGATCTTAGCATGAAAGTTTGGGGTTAAGATGACAGAGAGCCGGGCAGGCTGACATGATGTTCTAGTTCTATTGAGGTAGCAGAGGTCTGTCTGTCTGTCTGCCTTTTCCTCCACTTTTCCTAATTTTGCTTTCATAGACCCAAGAGTCTTCTCTCAAAGCTGCCACTTGCGGAAGGATTGAGAGATGAGACGCCTTTTGCTGTTTTGGCTCTCTAGAGACCCTACAGCACCAGGCGGGGAGGGTACCCTGTGACCTGCCTCCAGAAATGAGGCTGTCCAGGCCAGGAGAACATGCTGGACAGGGGCTCACAGCCCGTGCTCCACACCAGGACAGGCTAGACTTCCAATGTTCGAGGCAACTTCCATTCAAGGGCACCAGGTAGGAGTCTCAAAGCTATCACGGGTCTGTCCTTGAAGGTTTTGAAGGGGAAGTCAAGGCACAGCGAAAGCCAGTGCTGTGTTGGGGGGCTCACGGGCACGTGGCATCTTCTTGCTAAGCACAGCAGGTGGTTCAGTGGTCTGTTCTCTGAGTTACAGATGGCAGAGATCCCCCCCCCCCCCGCAGAAAGTCTAATTCCAGATCTCATGGACACATGTTTCTCCACTGGGACCTCTGAAGGAGAAAAGGGGCTTTCATCTTTGAAGCAGTAGGGCACCTTTCTTAAAGATGTCTGTCATAGCAGCAAGCCCTCCCAAGGAGCTCCAGGCTGAAAGCCCCACTGGGCCTACAGATTTGGGACTAACAACCCCTAGGTCTCCCTCGGACTTGTTGTCTCCAGGTGACTACCCATGCCATGTGCCCAGCCTCACAATGGCATGTGCCCAGGCCAGAGAGCACAGCATGAGTCCTCGGGTCCTGTGGCCCACACTGTTCTCCAGCCTGGCTCAGTGGCCATGTTCCTCTTTCCTTCCACAGGCTCTGGAGACTGCTGATTCCAACTGAGAGTTTTCTCAAGGATCGAAAGCTCTGCTGGCCTTCCTGAGGTTGGGACTTGGCATTAGCGTGAATCTCAGATGTGGGCAGGCAGGACAGCTGGGGAAGCCGGGGCAGACATGGTTCCCTGCTGAAATGTTTCAACTGCCCTCACTCAGTGGCTTGCGCTTTCTTTCCTGCCTTGGTTTCCCAGGATTTCAGCTGGGTCAAGCTCTCCTCCCAGCACTCCCTTTACCATCACAGAGGTAGGAAGCTTTTGGTGTTCTGATCCTTTTGAGTCCCCTCAGCGCTAAGGTGAGCCAGGCGGGGAGGGTGCCTGTGCCATCACCAGGCAGGACGAGAGTTGAGGGGCAGCAGTTCTCAGCACATCTGAGGGAAGGTAGGCAGGTCCAGTGTAGACTCCAGATCGTTCTCAGAGATGCCATTGTGTCTGAGATGGGGCCTCAGGATCTGCACTTTCAGCCGAGTCTCACAGAAGCTCGGCGAACATCCTGTCAGTCTCATTTGGGGAAGCAGACTTAGAATCATCCCCACAATATACCAGCAAAGACCAGACACCAGAGACAAAAAAGCAAAAAAACAAAACAAAGCAAAACCAAAAACCTCTCCAGTTACCTGATGGGCTAATGGTGTCTTACTTCCTGTGTTCTCATGCTTTGACGTCTGGGTCTTGCTGACAATGGAGGACAGCTCCTGTTGCATCCTGCTACCCACCTGTCACGTGCCAGCTGCTGCCCACCTGTCCTTATCAGCCAGCACGGGGAGCCGACCAGCAGGAAGTGCCCTATGCCTGGAGCCCTGAGCATATCCAACCATCCTGTAACTGCCCCAACCTACCCCGCACACTCAGAGACAGCTCTTCAAGGGCTTCGCCCTCTTCCCAGAGGACAAACGTGACAATGAAACGTGTGGGACTTAAGTGTTGGAACCGTGCCTGGTTCCCAGAGAGGATTAGGTCAGTATCTATTATTATCCTCGTTTCACTAATGGGGAGACAGAGGCAGACACAGGATTAAGTCGCTTGCCAGCATCCCCGGCTCCCACCGAGCTGGACGGATGCCACCTCCCAGCCCCAGAGCTCACATTTGAGTACACCAGAGAACGGCACTGGGATTGCATTTAATCACACGTATCGCTTAGTTTCCTTTGACTTTCCTAGAATAAGACCCACCACAGTGGACACTTGTTAGAAGAATGAAGGAGGTTTTTGTTACAGTCAAGTGGGTTGGCTCCAGGCTGGAGTGCCACAGCCCTTCTGTGCCCTGAGCAGTGAAGAGTGGCGAGGCTGGTGGAGTGTGGGCCGTGGGTCCATGCCGGTGTGCAAAGCTCCATGACGGAATGAGCCCTGACTTCGTGGGGTGCCAGCTTGACCGTGCTGTGCAGGACCGGCCCATCTGGCAGGGCCTGGAGCCTGTAACCTCTGGCACGGAGCTCTGTGGTCAACACAAACACAAATGAAGAAGGCCCCAGGCTCCCAGGGGAATTGACAGCATCCGTGGGCGAGTGAGAAGAACGCATGGAGGCCAGAGGAGGGGGCCGGGACTGCTAGGCACCTCCCTCCCTTTCCTAAGACTGAGTTCATCAGAAACGGAATTTCTCTTTCCTCCGATTTTCCCTCGTAACTCAAGCGTTGCGGTGGGTTTATTTTAAGACAAAGCATGCCTGGCACATCTCAGCTTCCAAAACACATGCTCTCCCTGAAGATGCCAGGCATGTGGGCAGTGACTGGAAGGCACAGATCGCTGACTCCGTCTCAGAGCAGCATCTATGGCTGCAGCTCAGCCTCACGCTTGCTCTCCGCCCTGCAGAAACCCCGAAGACCCTCCGGGTCCACACTTCTGAGTGCCCTAGTCTGGAATCTGGCTATTTTACAATTGTCCAGCTCAGGCAGGAGAGACCTGGAAACTGGTGGCCATTCTGCTTCTCTTCAATAACATTAAAATAACATTTCACTAGTCGCTAATCTTCTCCGGTCTGGTACTAGGTGGGCGAGGGCTTTGTGCCTTGCTAACTCCCAACCCTATTTCTCCCACTGTTTTCCCTGGGTCACGAATCCCTCAAGAGGGTTGTAAAGGTTGTGCACATGTTTGAGGCATAGATGATGGCTATGAGCAACACACCTGTAATGCTGGCCACATAATTGGTTGGCTTGTCTTCATCAAGACTATGTGGTAAATATTTCCCAAACTCTTTGCCCTGTGTCATAGCATGCTTAGCTTTTTGAAATATTCATAGATCTGTCGGCTAGTAAAACCTGATTCAATAAGCACAAAGGCACAGATAATCCTGAGCTCTAACAGAGAAGTTTGCTTCTGGGCGTGACCCTGACGCACAGATGGACTTCTCTGGATCTTGACTGGGTTTGGATACTCTTATTTATCTGTGTATTATTCCATCGGTCAGCTTTGTTTTCCAACAGAAGTCCCCAAGTGAAGAGTTTATCTATAGTAAATTATGCCATCCAGGGACAAGGAATCCATATGCTCTCATGCCGAGTACACCCACCAGCCACACACACACACACACACACACACACACACACACACACACGTTGAACATTCACTTGTAAGACCGCCTACCAAGCACTGTTGAGACCTCGTGCTGGGGCAAATTCGAACATCTGAATGCCCAACAGTGTTTCCATTCTTTTTCTCTCCTCTTTTCTTTGCTTCTTCACCAACAACACAGTGGGTAGAGAGGGCACAGGTGTGCAGTGACTTGGCACCTTTTACAGCAAAGCAAGGTTCTGCTCCCATTTTCAGAGGATGCCAGCCCTGGGGCTGGAGCTGCTGGTCCACTGGAGACCGTCGGAAGGAAGAGTCAGAGCCTTGGTACCCATACCTTCCTGCAGCCCAGGTGGTGACAGGCAGAGGCCAGAGCCTGAGACTGGCCGTGTGGTTGGCTTGCTTTACATACACCTACAGTGTAGGTCACAGTGGGCATCCCCAAGGCAGAAACACTTCAGTGAGAAACATGCACAAAGCGTCTTCTGAGGTCTGTGCTGGAAATGCGGCCACGCCCCTCTCAGGCAGACCCCTAGACTGTCTCCAGCCAATTCAACCCTGAGGAGAGGGGAGAGATGTTTAGAGTCCTGTTACATGCTCTCTCACTTGGACCCCTGCAATGGCCTCAGTGGCCTCCTCGCTATGGCTGCTTCTCACTGGGCCTGTCACTGGAAAGACGGCCTCCCATCCAGAACAAAAGCTCACGGAGTCCAGGGCTCTTTCTGGTTCTTCCACAGCTCTGATGCCTTTCAGGATTCACACGGGCCTTCCTCGAACCCATAAATGTACTCTTTTTCCTTTTAGAAGTGTCTCTGCTGCACGCCCCGATCCCACTGTTGTTCGCTTCTCTGATCTCCCAGGTTTTAACTCCCAGCTTCAGTATGAAAAGCTCCCAGCTTCTAAGATAAGGGTAGGCCACAGCAAATGCTGCCATTCTCACAGGAATTCACCACAAATGGTCCTCCAAAATGGGGGGGGGAGGCTCACACATTTCCCCGTAACAGACTCCCAGGGCGAAACACGATATTCCTACGCAGAAGAGAAACCTTCAGATCAGTGAAAGCATGCTGGACAGAGGCCTCCCAGGTCTTGGGTGTAGGTGAGTGTGAGCGTTACAAAGCTGGTGCCCTGATTCGTAACCCCACTCTCTTTCCCGGCATGAAGAGGCCACTGACCTGTGTGTGGATGCTCGTGGTGAAAACATGCAATTCTTAGCTATCAGGGATAAGCAGGGTAAACTGGAATTGCACAGAGCCAGGATTTTATACATGTGTGGCGTCGGGCTGGTATAAATTCACACCGCAAGGTTTTCATTTTAGGGTGTAAAATGTAATCCCCATGGAAACCTCAAAAATAGCTATAGAATA